TTCCATATGTTTCTAGCAACATTTTGTTCATGTTTTAATCAAGTTAGTAAACTCTGCTGTGTATATAATGTGACCAGCACGTCCCATGGCGAATCTATTGTGAACTTACCGTCTGGAAACAGAGACGAAGGTACGAGGAAAGAAGCAGTGGTACGTATGTAGTGTGTTTAATTGGGCTTCGTCATATGTATGTTTTTATTGGCTGCAACTCGACAAATCTTAAACACACAATGAGTTTTCTCCAGGTTCACGAGACTCGAATGAGCGAAGCCCTCCTAAAGATTCAACAGGCAAGGAATTATGCAGTGGCTCAGGCCCAGCAGGATTGTTGCGCGGGTAATTTTAGAATATTTGACTCGCCCTTTGGGAATTATCTCGTCCCTGTTATTCCATCTCGTTCGGAACTCGGTGGATGAATCTAAGCTGATTTTGTTTGTGCCAAGAGCCTCCAAATTGGAAATTACTCACTTGCCTAAGAATTATCGCTGTTGATATTGCCCGTAATATATACGAATTGGTGGAGAAACCTCAAGGATGTGCTTGTGAAGAAAATGGTGGAGAATTTGCAGAGAAGTTTTTGTTATTTTATTTCTTCTATATATTACTACCCATGTAAAAGAGCTAATGTGCTTGAAATTCAATTGTTTTAATGGACCCCATTAAAAATCTTATTATGCATTTCTTTCCTCATGGCTTTTGGCTCTTCGAAATATTGAAAATGCTTGTGAAAAACTAAACTGTGTGGTGCGAACACCAGTGGCCAATTGTAATGCTGTATACTGTATATCTATTTGCCTGCTGTTTGAAATTTTCTTTGTAGCAACAGGAGAAGGTCCAATAACGCACGGAATAACGAATTCACTTGTGTCAAATCAAAATCCGTCCGATAAGCTTAACTGCTTAAGGGCAACAGAAGAAGGCAGTTATATATATACATACACATACACGTTTGACAGCTCTTATGTTCATCAAACAGAACTGAATACACTGTCACCACTTTCAGACGAGCTGTGGAGAAGAGGATCAACATCGTGCTCGTTCCCAGTATTCGTCTTTTCACTCAACAGCCTTTGGCCACAACGGAGCAAGATTTGCAACACGTCATTCATGGCTGGCCTGTTTGAAGGGAATGTGCTTGTGCACATCAAACCCAACCTCAACACTGTGGCTATTTCCTCCAAGTAAACAGTACCCTGTATGTCCTCACCGATTGCATCCTCCACGGGCCGGCCTTCACGAACATGGCGCCAAGTCCAGTCAACAATAGACAACGTCTCATCTCCGGAGTGGGCCTCCCGTCCAGTTACCAACTCCAGAAGAATTACACCGAAGCCATACACGTCTATCTTCTCATTCACTCTTCTCGTCTGGGCGTACTCTGAGAAATTAAGACATCACATAATAAGCTCTTTCATTTTTCTTTCCTTTTATTTACATGATTCAGATGGCTCGTGGCTGTTTTCCTTTTCGTTTATGCATTTCTCATGAATTCTTTGGGTATGTATGGTTGCTCGTTAGTATTTATTTCGCTTCATTTTTCTTGAAAACCAGATTTTTACAAAAGCAGCACAAATCCGGTTTTTTTCCCCTTTCTTTTATTTTTTTTTTAATTCATTGTGCCGCTTCTAATAGAAGGAACTAATAATAGAACAAATTAGCTAAGTGGCTGAAGAAAAATTAAAAAAACTCGAAAGGCTTACCAGGAGCCATGTAGCCAAAAGAGCCAGCCACAATGGACATCGTGTTTGGCTCTCCTTGTTTCACCAAAATTCTTGCCAAGCCGAAATCAGCAATCTTGGCATTGAACATGGAATCCAACAGCACATTGCTTGACTTCACGTCTCGGTGGATAATTGGGGGTGAGCAGTGGTGGTGCATGTAGCAGAGCCCGTGAGCGACCCCAATTGCAATGTGCAGTCTCTTGGGCCAGTCCAAGACTGCACTATACTGGGGAGTCGGAGTCGGGCCCGGCCCAACCCGTTGTCTCCTTTTCCCATGCAACCATCTATCCAGACTGTGATTCTCCATGTATTCGTACACGAGAAGCTTGCAGGCTTCGCTCGAGATGCAACAGAGGAGTTTCACAATGTTCGAGTGGCGAATGGTCCCCAGTATCCGGATTTCTGCATGGAATTCCTTATCGAACTTCTTATTTGGTCTCACGCTTTCCCAAATCCTCTTGACGGCCACGTACTTGCCCGGACTATAATTAATCGGGACACGGTAAACTTGTCCAGACCCTCCTCGTCCGATTTGGTTGTCGTCTGTCAAGCTCGACAGGATGTTTGTCTCTGTGAAGTTTAGCCTCTGAAATGAAGTCAGCTTCCAGGTTGAGCTGGATATTTGGTTTCTCTTTCTATAAGTCCTTCGCACGTACACTGCGTACAGAATGGCCACCAGGAAAGCCAAAGCTGCTAGACTCGAGGTTATGGCTATAAAATGAGAAGAGAACCTTTTCGACTTCTCGATTTTGGATGCATGGCAATTGCCGAGGCGCAATGCCGACACGCTTGAACAGAGTCCCGGATTTCCCAAGAAGCTTCTGTCAAAAGCCGCATTTTCATACTCGCTCGGGATTCTCCCAGAAAGCCTGTTGGATGAAACGTTGAGGGAGGATAGCTTCAGGAGGCCCATTTCAGGGGGTATGCGGCCAAAAAGTGCATTTTGCGATAGGTCCAGGTAGTTGAGGGCAGGCAGAAGCCCAAATGCTTCCGGAATTTCGCCTGAGAGTTGATTCCGGCTGAGATCCAAAGTCGTGAGAGATCTCCACGATATTATGTCCGAGGGTAATGGGCCAGAAAATCGATTGCCATCGAGGGAGATGGTGGTTGCCAAAGAGAGAGCAGTCAGTTCTCGAGGTATTGTACCACTCAACTCGTTGTTGCTTGCACGGAAGACGGTCAGTCCCTCCCAAGAAGAAATTCCATTTGGAATAGGACCCGAGAACTCGTTGTTCATCAGCTCAACCAATGATAGCTGAGGCCCCACCCTATCCGGAAGCTGGCCTGAAAACAAGTTGCGCCCAAGCATCAATGTCGTTAAATTTGAAGATGTCCATAAACCACCGGGGATTCTACCCGAAAGCAAATTGTCGTGGACCCGAACAATCTCCAAGGGGCTGCAGTCGCCAAGGGACTCGGGCAATCGACCCATCAGCTCGTTTTCAAAGGCTATCAACCCTATCAATGCTTTGTTTGCACATAAATGCTCGGGCAATTGGCCCGAAAAGTGGTTTGAGGAAACCTGAAACGTTTTTAGAGGTGAGTACCGACCAAAGTCGGGCGGCAGTTCACCCGACAGATTGTTGCTAAATAGCCCAACATCCACGATCTCCGGCAACTGGCCTATGCTCACCGGTACCTTACCGGATAATCGGTTGAAGAACAAAGCCAAACCGGTCAAGCTAGACAAATTCCCAAAACCGTCTGGGATTGACCCTGTCAAAGTATTGTTTGAAAGATCGATGATTTGTAATTTCAAAGACTCGATTCTTTGAGGAATTGGACCAGACAACTCATTCTTGTAAAGATACAATTCAGTCAAGTTCTGGAGAAGGAATATTCCTTGCGGAATAGAACCACGCAAGGTGTTTACGGACAGGTCGAGAGACTCAAGGGCGGACATGTTCCCGATGGCTTGGGGAATTTCGCCAATCAAATTAGCCTCTGGCATCCACAGCTTCTTGAGTTTTTTCAGGTTAGCAAAAGCGGAGGGGATCGGTTGTGGAGTAAAGGAGTTGTAGCCCAAGGAGAGCTCCTGGAGTTGCGGAAGGTCTCCGATTTCCGGCGGAAAAGAGCCGTTGAACAAGTTCCCGGCCAAGTGGAGGGTGACGAGGGCCTTGAGGCTCACGATGGCCCCGGGGATGTCCCCCGTGAAGTTGTTGGCGTCGAGGTTGAGGTAGCTGAGGCGAGGCGGGAGGCGGTCGGGAATTCGGCCGACGAGGTAGTTTTGGGAGAGGTCGAGGTGGTGGAGGTTGGAGCAGTTGTTGAGGGCGGTGGGGAAAGGTCCGGGGATATAGTTCCACTGGAGTTCCAGGTGGGTGAGGTTGATGATGTGGCATATGGAGGGTGGGAGGGTGTTGGTGATGCTGGCGTTGATGATGGAGAGGCCGGTGACCCAACGGCCAGCCGGGTCGCACCTCACCTCGGGCCACGTGCAGTGATCGGAAGAGGGGGTCCAGTGGGTGAGGGAAGGGGGGTCGCCCCAGTGGCTTTTGAGGCTGAGAAGGACGCCCTGTTCTTGGTGGTTGTTGTTTTGTGTGTTTCCGAGGAAAGGTAGAGTGAGGGAGGAGAGGAGGAGAAGATGAGGAAGAAGGGGGATTTGGGAGGACATTTTTGGGTGCAAGGCGCCTGCCTTTGCTGTGTCGTGCGTGGAGTTTTTTACCTAAAAACAGAGTGCTTTTCTTTTAGATTTAAATTTGTTGTTGTAATGTGAAAACGGGAAGCAGAGAGGAAGTTTGGAATGATAGACAATAAATAATGGGATGAAGCCTCCAGATTTGAATGGTCAACCTTTTGTCGTCTTATGACGGCCGCGACATGCCGTCTTCTACTTTCAGGTTCTACTTTTATTTTAATTTTCTTTTTGTGAAATGATAGAGGTTATATAAAAGAGCAGTGCAAAATGAACAAATTACAAGACCCCAATGGATAATATAAGACTCCAACAGAGTAATGAGATATGGGTCAATGGCCTAAACCAAAAACACCCCTAAAACACACCTAAAAACAAACAGGAATAAAAGACTGAGAGGACACGTACAAGGCGGCCTAGAGAACTCCAGAAACAAAAAATAAAGGAAGATGAAAACAGAGTCACTGCATAATGTCTAGTCTGTATTCATCCCTCCCCTCCCCCACTTTTTCTCCCCTCCAAAATTGGAGGGATTTGGAGGGGAAGTGGTTTATAATGATATGAAATTACCTTTTAGCCCTTACTTTTAATTGTTTTTAATTATTTTTTTTATTTGGGTAAATTCGTCATTTTAGTTTATTTTCCCTTCATCAACCAAACAAGGTTTACCATTTTCCCTCTCTTCCCCTCCTAAATAATCCATCCAAACAAGGTAAAATTATTTTACATCACCTCCCCTCCCCTCCCTTTCCCTCCATTAAAATCCCTCCCCTCCCTTCCCCTCCATTGAACCAAACACACCCTAAAAGCAAAACAAACATCCCTCCCTCAGAAAGGACAACCGAAGACGATAGCAGACAAGCCTGACTTCGCTGCGAGATCCTAAGTAGAAGAACTGCACCCTCCTGTAATACCCCGTTTGAATATGGAATAATTGAGTTATTTATTATTTATTGTCTTTATTATTATTATTATTATTATTATTATTATTATTATTATTATTATTATCCAATTTCCTATTTGACTATTGCTATTATTATTATTATTATTATTATTATTATTATTATTATTATTATAATAAATATTGTTTCTAAATGTCAAATTTCTCTTAATTGTTAAATGATTGTTATTATTATTATTATTATTATTATTATTATTATTATTATTTATATATTTGTCTAATGTGCCTGATTGATTAAATGTGATTAATGTATACTACTAAATATTACTATGTGTGTTATATTTTATTTAAATGTGTGATATATATATATATATATATAATTATCGCGATTTATTTTATTCGATTATTGTCGAGCCTCAACGATTAATTGTGAACCGAGAAGCCGCGCCCAACCGGCCGACCCGACCCGTTTCGTCTCCCTTTGGTTTACCTTGTTGGCCAAGCTTTTAATTAAACCCTACATCAATTAGTAATTGAGAGAAACCCTTAGCAGAATTGACTTACGCGTAGACCCTTAGCAGATTAAATCCCGCAGCAGCAAGGTTCTTTTCTTCCGCAGCTCTAAAATTTTCTCTGCTCATCACTCAAAATCTGATCGCCTCCACCCTCCCTCTCGCGATCTGCAGCAGACATATAATCTGCTCGTATTACCATCGACCATCAACATCACCATCATCATAAAATTTGTGCTCATCTCGTTCGAAG